AACCTACGTACCGGTACCGACTACGCTCGACTACGGCGTTCGTTCGTACTCCTCTCTCGACGCGCTCGTCTCTTCGTCTCCCCCCCCCCCCCCCCCTTCCGATCAGCAACGTGCTGGTCCGCAAGCACCCGAACGGCAAGCGCGGCCAGCACCAGATTGTGCTCATCGACCACGGCCTCTACGTCGAGCTGAGCGAAGACTTCCGCAGAAAGTACGCGCAGCTCTGGAAGGCCATCTTCACCTTTGACCTGCACACGCTCGACGACATCACCCGCAGCTGGGGTATGGGCGAGGACGCGTCCGAGCTGTTTGCCGTGAGTCGGCCGTACTCCCTCCTTCCCTCCTCTTCCTCCTCTTCCTCGCATCCCGCCGACGTCGTCTGCATCGATCGAGACTGACGCAGAACTGAACCTTGCCGACGGACGATAACGGTGCCATGCCACCTTGCGGATCTGCCAGTCGGCCACCCTGCTTCGACCTTGGAGCAAGCCCAAGAAAAAGGGAGATGGGGAGCACAAGGGCGCCCACGCCCACAAGAGCGACCTCGAACTGCAGAGGGAGATGAAGGAGAGGCTCAAGAACTTCCTGGTGCGTCTCTATCCGCCCCTCTCTCCGAGACTCTTGTCCCTTCTGGTGCGCCCGTCGGCCGACTGACCATGTTTGTCGCTCCACGCCAACCACCTGGAGCAGGTCCACGTCGAGCTGCTACCCAAGGAGCTCATCTTTGTGGGTCGATCGATGCGCATCCTCCAAGCCTCGAACCAGATGCTCGGATCGCCCGTCAACCGACTCAACATTATGGCCAAGCACGCCTCCTCGGCCCTCATATCGCCCTACACCCCCTCGCTCTTCCGCGTCTTTTTCCCACTCCACCACCCCACGACGAGGGCCCCGACTGAAGCCGGCTTGGCAAAGAGGATGGCGGAATGGCTGCGCGACCGCGTCGAGTTTGTCAAGTTCCGCTCTACCCTCCTCGTCCTCGACCTCGCATTCTGGGCCAGCGGACTCAGGTACTGGATCAAATTCCTCGTCAGACACCCCATCAAGGCCGTCTCTGGTTCCCGCGACGACGAGGAAGGAGGCTTCGAAGATGACCTCGAGCGCCAGATGCGCAAGATGGCGTGAGTTTGCCAGCCCCCCCTGCGCCATGGTCGAGGCTGTGGAGCATGCTCCTGTCCGAATCGTGCTGACGGTCGACTCTGCGCTGCCATCGCTGTGTCGGTACCTCTATTTTTTGCATTGCACTGCGCTGCGCTGCGCCCGCCACAACAGCAAGGACGAGTTTGGCGTCGAGCTCGACGAGGGCGCCTTTATCGGCTAGACGCGGGCAACCCTGCGACGCATCACCCTAGACTCGACGTCCTTGCCCCACCCCTTCACCGGCCCCCTCTCCCATAGAGCCGCGCGATAAAGACCGACACGACCGCCTACCACGTACTCGACCCAGCCCGGCCCTCACTGGCTCTGGTCCCACACGCCGTTGGGGTGGAGGCGCTCCTTTGGGATGTCGACGTTGCGGAGCGCCTCGAGCACGCTCTCGCCCGCCCACACCTCGAGCTTGTGGCACTCGTCGGGCGAGATAAAGGCCGAGTTGGTACGGTTGGCGAAGATCATCTGCACCGCGCCCGTGCGAATGCGGCCCTTTTGCGGCACCGGCTGGCCGGCGGGCACGCTGTCGATGGCCGCGTTGGCGCTCGCGGCGAGGTGGTTGAGGACAAACGTCTCCATCTGCGGTTGGCAGTTTGCGAGTGTCGCGAGGAGGCGAGGCGAGGCGAGGCAAGAAGGGAGAGGGGCTGGTCAGCGAACGGGCCAGGGAAAGGGTCGCAAGGCCAAGGGCCCGACGCCGCCACCGCATGGCACCACGGACACGCACCTCTAGCGTCGAGAGCTCCCGGTAGCGCTGCTGCAGCACGTCGATGAGGTTGGCGTTGGCGTCGAGGAACGAGGGGTCGGTCCTGCCCTGGGATCCGTAGAAGCTGTCGGCGCTGGCGTTTGTCGTGTTGCCGACGGCCTTGACGCTCTCGCCGTTGAAGAGCGACGCCTCAGCCTTGGGCTGCTTGGCGGCCAGGGCGGCGAGGAGCTTGTCGTGCACCTCGTCGTCGCAGTCGAGGGGCTTGGTGACGGTATAGGGCTCAATGGCGCCGCTGCTGCGCTCCTGGGCCGTCGTGGCGGGGTGGAAGTAGTCGTAATTGCGCGAGATGCCGATCGACGTCTTGGGGACGACGACGGTGCCGATGCCGTAGTCGGGCCGCAGCGAGCCGCACGAGCCGAGGCGGACAATGATCATCTCGCCCTCGACGACGGCGCGGCACTCGCGAACGAAGAAGTCCTGATAGGTGCGCGGGTAAAGGGGTGGGGCGCGATCGCGCCAGGCAATGCGGTCGCAGGTTAGACCGCTGCGGAATCAACGACCGGATGCGTGCAGGAAGAGATGCACTCACGACGACCGAGAAGCCCATGCCGATTGCAACGACGCTGATGGGGCAGCCCTTGTAGGTACCCGTCAAGGTGAGCTGCGGTTGCACGAGGGACGGCAAGCCGAGAGACGGACAGGGTCAGTCCAAAGGCCCGCTGCCGGAACGCCTCGGCAGAGCGGCGAGGCCGGTCGGCGGCTACGTACAAAGTTCCTCTGGGACATGTGCTCAAAGATGGGCTTGCCGCCGTCGAAGCACTCTGCGATCCTCCTCGCCCTGACCGAGTCTCCGACGGTGATGATGCGGTTGGCCACCTGGGACGCGCGCGTGGCTACGTGGTAGGTGCGTCCCTGGGCATCCTGGGGGAAGTTGGCGTTGGAGAGGACTTCCTTCATGGCTGTCTGTTTGCGTCGACTCGGAGGAGGAGTGGAAGGAGAGAAAGGGAGAAGGAGACGGGGCGATGGACGTGGTGGTAAGGAAGGGAGAGAAGGGGGCGAGGCTGGCACGAAGAAGACACCAAAGGCGGGGAAGGGCTGGCGAGTGCGGGGAAGGACAGAAGAACGGCCGAAGCGATCGAGGAGCGGGGGGACAAGCGGGGGACAAGCTCGACCTCGTCCTCGTCCTCTACCTCGTCCTCGTCCTCTACCTCGTCCTCGTCCTCTACCTGCTCTTGCTCTGCAGCTGGCTGCTTGGCTTCGTCGGCGTAGACGCCGCCTGCCTCGCCGCCCCGCCGCCCCGCAGGCCAACGTGGGCCTGGCCTGGCCACGTACGGACTTGGCCGAGGTGGAGGAGGCAGCCCGGCGGCCCAGTTCCTGAACTGGCCTCGGAGCCGGATCCGAAGTCTAACCTGGCCAGGCCTGACCTGTTTCGGCCCGGCCCTGGCCTGGCCTGGTGGGCAGACGGGAGCCCCGCTGCTGGCCAGCCAACCCACCTTCCGCGCGACAAATCCATCCGCCTCCCCTCGCGACGTCCACCACCGCTGCTCACCATCCGCGTCTTTCTCGCCCGCGTCTCGTCCGAAGCAAGCTCCTCCGCCAACTAGCCTCGACTGTAACTGCGACCCTCCTCCGAGCACATCGTTGCCGCTGCCATCCCATCGGCATCGTATTGCCTGGCGACACGCCACACGCCGCTCGTCGTCGTCGTCGCCGCTGCTCCCGCCCGCGGCCGAAACAAGACCTCGGGTCGCCCCGGCTCGCCTTGTCGACCGAGAGAAGCTCGTCGATATTTTGGCGCCCAACACGACGCGACAGACGCCAACCAGCTTCGACACCGCGACCGGCGCTACCCCCGCCGCATCGCCGCACACCTCCTCGCCTCCGATGGCCGACGATCAGCAATATCAGCATGACCAGCAGCCTCTGCATCCGCAGCCGCAGCACGACGGGCAGGCCGCAACGCCGCACGACGAGCAGGACATGCACATCGGCGATGCCGACGGCACTTCCGACGCCATGACGGGCGCCGCCGCGCTCGAGAGGCTCGCGGCGGCCACCGCGGCCGCTTCGGCGCACCACCACCACCAGCAGCCCGACGCCAACGCGCCGGATATGCCGCAGCCCCGCCTCGAGGACGTCAGCGCCGTCATCGCAGCGGCTGCGGCCAACGGCGCGTTCGCCGCCGCCGCCGACCACGGCGCGCAGCACGATGTCGACGGCGCGCACATCCACGACCAATCGAATGCGATGGACATCGACGAGCCCGGAGCTACGCAGGTGCAGACCGAAGTCAACGGCGGAGAGGATCGTGGAAACATCGAACAGGCCGTGGCCATCCCAGCGTCGGAGGAGCCGCAAGCCAACGCCGACGTCCCGGGCACGCCACCGGTGGCCTCTGACCATGCTGCCCCGACGACCAAAATTGAGGGACAGGCGGACACCGATGGCAGCCAGCAGCAGCCGGACCCGCAGCCGCAAACCCAGCAGCAGGAACAGCAGCAGGAGCAGCAGCAGCTCGACGGTCACTCGCTGGAGCAGTCGCAGCCGCAGTCGCAGCCGCAGCCGCAGCCGCAACAGCAGCAATCCGCCGATGGGACCGCGCAGCCGCAGCACGGCGACCAGGAACCGCGCGTCCGCATCGCCAGCGAAGCCGACGGCACGCCTTCGAGGGAGGCCACCGACGATGCCGGCGCCTCGACCTCGGCCGATGCCTCGACCAGCACGCCTCGGCCCAAAAAGGAGAGGGCCAAGCCCAAGCCGCGCTCCAAGTCGGCCACCAAGATCACGCGCTTCCGCAAGATCACCAGCTGCCTCCAGTGCCGAGAGAAGAAGCAAAAGTGCGACCGCGTCAAGCCCGTCTGCGGCAACTGCCGAGAGAATCCGGGCGACGACCCCTGCCACTTTATCGACGAGGAGCAGCGTCGGCCCACTTCCGAGGAACGCGCCGCCTCGCAGCACATTGCCGTCGACTCGCCTCTGCCCCTCAAGCGCAAGCACGTCTCTGAGGATACCGTCATCGCCGGACTGAGCCCGAGCGGCTCTGGCCTGCCGCTGCTCAAGGACAGGAGGCACGCCCAGTTCCTGCAGGCGCGCAGGCAGATGGTCGACAAGCTCGCCGTCGCCGGCAAGGACCGAGAGCGCGACTTCAACGCCCGCGTCAATGCCGCCCGAGCCGCCGCCATCGCCGACGTCCTCTTTGAGAGCCTCATCGAGCTGCCGTCGGCCGAGCAGGTCTCGAGCTTGCTATACACCTACAAGACCCAGGTCGAGCCCTTTGTCAACGTCGTCATCACCGACATCAACATGGCGCGATTCCAGAGCTTCCTGCGCTGGTGGCACTCGAAGCCCACCACGATGCCGGCCGACCCGCCGCTGGTGCCGCTGCTGCTCGTCGTGCTCGCCCTGGCCCTCCAGACCCACCGCACGTCGATGTCCTTCGACGGCAAGCCCCTGTCCAACGAGAAGCCCGTGCCCGGCTTCGAGTGCTCCGACGAGCGGACGCTGCTCGTCTCGGCCGGGCGCTGCCTCGACGCGCTCCAGATCGCGTGCCCCTCGGCCTGGAGCAGCGCCTTCCAGGCTCCCATCGACCTGATCAAGGCCTCGCTGCTGCGCGGCATCTGGCACATGAACGAGCTCAACCTCCAGTTTGCCGGCACCTGCTTCGCCATCACCACCCGCCTTGCCTACGCTGCCGGCCTCCATCGCGACCCCAAGCACTGGTCCGGCATGCGCATCGAGGAGGCGCAGGCGCGTAGGAACCTATGGTGGAACATTGTCTTTTTCGAGGTGGCCCATGCCCACCGCCTCGGACAGCCGCCGTGCCTGTCGCACGAAGGCTTCGACACCGGCTACCCGGACGACTACGATGCCCTCTACGCCCTCTACGAGCGGGCAGGCCTGGCCGACCCCGACCCGAGCCGCGTCATCCTGCCGGCCGGCCACAAGGCCTTGATCCCGTGCACCCCGACGCGCAACAACTTCGACTACCACTGGGCTCGCTTCCGCATCTACCACATCTTCCTCCGCCAGAGCCAGCAGCTCTTCCGCTTCGGCATCTCGTCGCCGCCCGACCCCAACCTGATCGACGACTACACGCGCTGGAAGGAGCTGCTGCCGCAGCACTTCAAAGACCACTTTGCCAAGCGCGAGCAGGGTGCCGTCCGCCCCTCGGACGAGTGCCTCGCCAAGATTGGCGCTCCGCAGCCCGTCAAGGGCAACTACGACCCTCACGGCTACGAGGAGTACGAGTCGTACCTGCAGGGCTACAACCTCGAGTTCATGTACCACCAGAGCATGATCACGATCCACAGGCCCTACATCGACGAGCAGGGCGCGTGGAAGCCGCCGGGCTCGGTGCAGAAGAGCCTCGAGGTGTGCCTCAGCTCGGCCGAGGCCATCATCGCCACCGTCAGCGATGTCCTGGCCGTCGAGCCGCCGTTCTCGATGTTCAACAACTGCGCCTACTTTAGCTTCAACGCCGGGCTGGTGCTGGCCATCCACTGCAAGCTGGATCCGTCCAGCCAGAAGCATCGACCCTCGCTCCGCGCCGCCATGGTCAACCTGCAGCTCCTCGCCGACATGGCGCGGCTCGGCAACATTGCCGAGCAAGCGGGTCGCTACTGCAACACGCTCAAGCAGATGCTCCAGGGCAGCGGCGGCGACCTGGCCCGCCTCGCAGCCTCCATCACCGACGCAGCCCAGGACACATCCGAGATTGTGCAGGGCGGCGACACGAGCGGCGTCGTTGGCGCCCTCGATCCTTCGCTGCAGGGCGATGATGCCGCTGGCCCCAACGGGACCGACAACGCCTCGGGCGATGGCAATCAGCCAGAGGGTGCCGGAGGCGCGACCGCAGCTGGTGGCTCCGACGATAAGGCATCGCACGAGGGTGATGGCTTCCCAGAGACGTTCCCTGCCTATCTGCTGCCGTTTGTCGGCCTGCCTCCGGACATGTCGAACCTCGGACCCCAGGCCGACTACTGGTCAATGGCCGGCTCGGCGTCGGGTCTGCCGTTCGACTTTGCACTGCCGGCGGCCGGCTCGTCTCAATCGTCGCAGGTGCCAGGCCAGGCGGACTCGCAGGGCGTACCGCAATCGGAAGCCACGGCGTCCAGCGACCACTGGGATCAGCAGCAGCATCAACAGCACCAGCCGGTCGACGAGGGCGCCGCGCACCCCGCGACGACCGAGTCCCACCCTCCGATGGACGAGCCTTCTTCCTCGGCGACCCAGTCCCAGTCGGCCGTCGCGGCCGAACAGACGGCAGCGGAGCAGTACCAGAGCCTCTACGAGCTCTTTGCGAGTCGAAACGACGATGCAACCCGGGGCACCGAGGTCTCGCACCTGCCCGATCGACCGATGTCGTTTTCGCAGCACTACAACCACCAGGCGCCCGCCAAGAGCCTGCAGACGCAGGAGCTGGCCCACTCGGCGGGCAACGGCCACGACGAGCGGCTGCTGGGCGCCAACCTGCTGTCCAAGTTCTACGAGCAGACGCAGCAGCAGAGCGCCACCCGATCCACGGCCGGCGGCGGCGGCGGCGGCGGCGACGCCGAGTCGAGCGACCGCACCGACGCCGGCATGACGCTCGATGCCGTGGCCAGCGCCGCCGAGTCCGCGGGAGGCACCGCGGCCATCAACGTGCCCAATGCCGAGGGCTACGACAAGCAGCAGGCCGAGCAGCAGCCGCAGCAGCCCGGCGACTCGGCCGCGCCCACGTCCGAGGCGCAGCAGCTCGACACGCAGGAGCACAACAACACCATCGCCGGCGTCTGGTATGCTCTCGAAAACTTCAGCCAGATGCTCAACAACAGGCAATAGGCGGGCAGCGGCGGCGGTGGCGGTGGCGGTACCGGGAGCGATCGAAGGACCCCATCGAGCCGCCCCCTTGCCGCTTGCCACTGGCCCCCTCGCCCATGAGCCGTCTTCTTCCCCGCTTTGTGTACCAACAGTGTAGTATCGCCTCGTGCTCTTCTTCGTTTGCCCGCCAGCCCGGTATGCCATCGGATCGCCACTGTCTCCCGTTTTGATGCGAGGGAATGCGAGGCCGTCCCGGGACGTGATCCTGTCCGCCTGTCGAGGCAGGCGTCTTGCAGGGGCCAGCGAGAAGGGTTTCCTCGGGCGTTGCATCGTCGCCCGCTGGGGGGCCGGATCCGCCGGGTCCATCTCGTTCTAGCGTTCATCTAGGGTAGGCGATATAGGCGTCAGGCCTTGACAAACCGAGCGACGGCATGGGGCATGAGATCGGCGCGGTGCTATGTGCCAGCCCAGTATCGAGGGGATTCGCGGTGGGGGATACGGGTGGTTAGCCGGAGCCTCAGACTCTCTCTTTCCCTCCCGCGCCACTCTGCACGCCAGCGGGCTCTCCAGGGGGACTCACCTCGTCCTTGGGCCGGAGGATCTCGACGTGGGACCACCCGCCGACGTCCCGCAGCCAGTCGGCGCTGTCCCGGTCCATCTCGCAGCCGCCGACAAGCCTCTTCCAGGGTACGGTCCAGAGCTGCTGGATGAGGCGCGCAGGCTGGTGCTTACTGGCGACGTGCTCGAATACGAGGATCTCGCCGCCGGGTCGGAGGAGGGACTGGAGGTAGTCGAGGTGGGACTTGGGGTTGGGGATCGAGCAGAGGACCTGGACGAGGACGATGGTGTCGAACGACGCGGGCGCCAGGCCGTGGCGGGAGAGGGTGCCGCGCTCCTCGTCGAGTCCGAGCGGGACGACGGTGCTGCGGCTCAGCAGACCTGTTCGGTCCAGAGCCGCTTCGAGCTTGGTGCGGAGCGGTGCAAAGGGTTCGAGGACGACGAGGCTCTCGACGCGGTCCAGGTCGTAGTAGACGACGTTTTCGCCCGACCCCGCACCCACCTCGAGCACGCGCCCGCGCGCCGAGGCGAGCAGCGGCCGCTTGACGGGTTCCCAGTTCTTGTTGGACTGCGCCAGGATGTAGCCGAACCCGTTGGCTAGGATCAGCTCGTGCCACCGGAACGGGTTGAGCCAGGATACGGGGCTCAGCCGCGAGAACTGGGCGCGGATCGCACCGGGCAGACCGACGATGGTGAGCACGATGAGGATGATGAGCGGGTCAATTGGGCTCAGCGCCCGCTCCAAGAGCGTCGGCGGCCGCGCGGGCCGCGAGCAGCATGTTGATGCGAGTGTGGTCGTCTGCGATGGCATGGCCGCGGACGATACTAAAGGAGGTGGATGAGGGTGGTGGTGATGGTGCGGAGAGACGGGAGGGATGACTCGACATGGTGCGCTTTTGGTAGCCGGGCGTCCCTCGGCCATGGAAAAGTCGACGGAGCAGGAAGGGCGCACGCACGGGCCATGTCCCCCCTCGAGGTGGAGGATCCCGGCGGCATCAGCCTTATGCTGCGGCTGCGGCTGCGGCTGCGGCTGCGGCTGCGGAGTCGTGCGACAGACGGTCCGGCACCGACCGGTAATGGCGCGGGCATGACTATGTAGCCGCGGGAGCGCTGTCTATGCTGCTGCTGTGCTTTTCAGGCAAGAGTCCGCCGTACACTTTGCTATCCTAGCTCCCCTCCACCCGGCTAGCTCGACGACCGCGTGGCGTTCTGGAAGCCTATCGACCCGCGCTGGCTACTGTCCTGATCCGCCTGGGTCACCACCTCGGCATACCTGGTTTGTTACCGGCAAGCAACGTCTCTCGAGGTCAGCATGGGCTGCGCTGCAACGCCCACAGCAACGAAGACTATTCGCCCGCCCGCTCGCCGTACTCACATCATCTTGTACTTGACCAGCTCCTCGGCCATCTCTTCCTTTGCAATCTTGGCCATGACGACGCTCTTGACCAGGTCGACGTGCTCCTTGTTGACCGAGTTGAGCTGGTCCTCGAGCGCCTTGACCCGCGCCGCCAGATTGCGGTTGACGAGGCGCAGCGCCTCGACCTCACGCCGGTGCGCATTGGCCGCGCGCACCTGCTCGTCAAACTCGGACGCGTAGCTGTCCAGCATGAACGGCGTAATCTTGATCTGAAACGCATCGCGCACAAACTCGTTGGTGTTGTACACCTTCTTGCGCTTCGGGGCGTCGCCTTGCTCTGCCGAGGGGGCGTCGGAGGCGGCCGGGGCGTCACCGGACGCCGCCATCTCGGGTGCCGCCTCGTCGGACTTCTGCGATGTGGGATGGTGGCAAAAGGATGTCTTTCGGAGGCTCAACAATCGGAGCTTCGCGGGGACGCCCGCTCACGACCGATGCGAAGACTCACGAGGTAGACGTCAAAGAGCGACTGCTTGAGGAACGAAACGGCGCTGTCGAAGTTGAGCTTGAGGAGCTCCTCCTCGTTGCGCTTCATAAGCGCCAGCGCGAAGCGGAAGAGAGCCTCGACGCCCTCGGCAAACACCGAGTCCAGAATGCGATAAACGAGCTCGAGCGGGAAGCGGTACGAGCTGATCGGCCCAAGGAGATGGAAGGGTCGTACAGGTCAGCTAGAGATTCACCAGCATCGATCGCCGAAGGCATCCCATACTCACAAGACTGCATCGACGATTGAACCGGTCGAGAGAAAAAGCCCTTCAATGTCAGCTTGCCTAGATACAGGAAAGCACAACGATCCGGTCTCGAGTGTCGACTCACGCGTCATGAACCACTGACTTGCGTACATGCTGCTCTTGACGCCTTGCCGGACGAGGTGCATGTGCAGCAGCGGAAGGAACTCTTCCAGCAGGCGGTCGAATTGGAATAGCCGCAGCTGCAATGATGGCATGTTCGCTGTTCGACGAAGCGGATTAAAGAAGCGTCAGGTCGCGTCCTCCAGGCGCCGGGCTCCGAGCCCGCAGGGCCGCAGGGTGAGGCGGGACTTACGCGTAAAGTGGCCGCGAAGGTCGTAGGACTTCATCAGCCTAACCAAGGTGCTGAAGGCCTCCTCGTCTGGCATCTGCAGGGATTGCGGGTGCAGCGGAAGTGGAACCCGGCGGGCATCCGGTTCAGCGCAAAGACGTTTGCGCCAACGGAAGCGGTCGGAGGCGAAGCACCTACATTGAGCAGCAAGGGGCCGACGACAAACTGCATGCCCTGGCAGTAGCCCACCTCGGGGTCGTAGAGCGAGTAGGCCTTGACGACGTTGAAGAGGTTCTCCTGCCCAATGCCCTTGCCGTCCTGGAAGTAGTCTTGCTCGGGGAAGGTCCGGTTCAAATCCCGTCGAATCGCCTTCTCATGGGGGCTCGACTGCTTCAGGTAGTCTGAAGACGTGCCAGGGTGGACGCGCGGCAGGAAGGGGGGGGGGGGGGGGGCAATCGTCAGTCGGGACGTTCAGAGGCCCAAAGGCTAGAGACGGCAAAAGTTGCACCTGCAATCTTCGCCGCGTAACTCACAAGCGTAGATGATCTCCATCTCTTCGTCCTTGCTGCTGCTCATGAGCTGCCACATCATGCCGCGGAGCGCGGCCGGTATCCCCGCCTGGATCGCCCGGCTCAGCTCTCGCGGCTGCGTCCGGGCAACTTGCTGATAGTCTGGAGATCCATGGCAAATGGGCGTTCGTGCTTAGCGATCGCCAATGTACAGATTCAGAGCGGCCCGCGATCGACTCACTGCTCATGACGTTTCCCCAGAACTCCCAGTTGATCGCCTCGTCCTCCAGCTCCTCGCCCGGTGGACCCTCCCAATGGAGGCCGGCCTCATGGCCTTCGACCGGCTGGCCACCAGGCTCCGCTGCCTCCTCGGGCGCAGTGGCGATCGGCACTCCGTTGAGCGCACGGTTCTGGCTCTCGCCTCGGGAATGCCGCGCCTGGTCCTTCTCCCTGAGCTTCTCAAAGTTCTCCCGCAGCTTGTCCGCGCCGTCCATGCTGTTGCGCATCGCCTTCGGGTCCGTCGTCAGCTTTGCGTTCTGGGTTTCGAGCCGGGCGAGTAGGAAGTCGTAGTTGCCCGTGGTCCGCTCGCCTCCGCCGCCTCCGCTGCCTCCGCCGGCCGCGTCCCCCGTGCTCATCATCACCGTAGCTCGCTTGGCATCATTGGTTCCACCCCATGCGTCCGAAGCCGCGACGGCGCCGTTGGCCACAGATGCCGTGGTGCTGCCGAGGCTGACGACGGAGAAGTGGTTCGAGTTCATGCTCGGCGTGTCGGGCGACGGGTCGTGGACATCCCGCGCGGTCGAGGGCTCTCGACTGCGGCTCCGGATCACCGAGTCCGCTGATGAGAAGCGCTGGGGGTCCGCCTCCGCAGCAGCCGTCGATGCCCGTGGGCTCTCCTTGTCGGTGGCGAACGGATTCGAGATGGTCTCGTCCGGTTCCAGCAGAGACGTGGCTCCCTGCGATGGCGGAATCTTTTCGACTTGCTCGCCGAGGGTCTGCCTGGCGCTTTCCTCGTCCAGGATCAGTTCACTGCCCTCGCCTTGCTTAACGTCCGCGGACGAAATGGGCTCAACGTCTCCTGCCAGGGACTCCTGGCGGCTGTCGGTGATGGTGATGGTCGAGGCGCTCAGAGGCAGGGAAGTCGCATCCTTTGCCCCGTCCGACGACTGCTGGTCCGAGTCTGGACGAGACGTCGTCCTGACGGGCGGTTTTGGCGACGAGCTGTCTTTGGCCGCGGTGCTTTCAAACCGGTCCTTGAGTGCGGCGATGCCTTTTGCAACGGTCGGCTTGGGCGAGCTGGATGGAGCTGCGTCGAGCGAAGGAGAGAGTGGCTTGCCGACACTCTTCGACCTTTCGGACACGGTATCGTTGGTCGACGGGCCTTCTCCGGCATCAGCTGCGTCTGTCGAGGGAACCGGAGCAGACGCTTCAGAGCTGCCGTTGCCAGATGAAAGATCGGCGATATTGGACGGAAACTCTGTGGCTGTTGGCATGGGCGTGGACGCATCGTCGAGTTCGTCTGTCGCCGTGACTGTTGCGGGATCGGCAGGGGCCGATGCCCGCTCTGTGGCGGTGCTGTCCGCTGCAGCGGTCTCGGAATCGTCCCGGGGCTCGTCGGCTTCGCTCAAGGACGGCGTGGTTCCGTCCGCTGCATCCTGGAAGTCGCTTTCGTCGTCGGTGTGGGTGTGAATGCTGGAGTCGTCCGGGTGGGTCGAGTTGTCGGCCTCGGCGGCGGCCAGCTCGGCGGCCAGCGTGGGCTGCGGTTCGGCCGCTGCCGTTCCCGCCGCCGCTGTCGCTGCCGCTTTGCTGGTGGCTGTGGTGCCCCTCGACTTTGGCATGCTGCGCTTCGATGATCGAGTGGCGGCCAGGTCAGCTGGTGAGGTCTTGAGATGGACTGGCTTGCTTGGAGTGCCGAGCAGAAGATATCGGTGGCGGCCCGAGTCCGAGATGGTAGCGCGATGGGACGCACTAGAGAAGTTGGCGAGCTGGTTCAGATTGGTCGTCGTCTGTCTGTGCGCCGCGGTTCGGAAGGAGGCGATGGTGATAGAGAGACGAAAGATGAGCAACGGTGACGGTTCGAAGCGGCTCTCTGTCAGGCTGTGACGGCTAAAGCCCGCCCAACCAACACCTCGATGGCAACCGAGGTGGCCCGTGAGCGCCTCCGCCCGTCTGAGCTGCAAACCCCTCCCTCGGTCCGCGCAGCCCCGCCCCGCCTGCTGGCTCTTTTGCTTACGGCCCAGCTGGCCACCGTATGCAAGCTTGCATTGCAGCACTTTCTTCGCGCCCGTGCTATTCTAGTCACACTACGTCGATGGACCGCCTTCGCCACGTCGGTGGCAGAGCGTACGACGTTTGCTCTTCGCTCCTGGCTCTCTGCGCCAGCGAGCAAGGTGCTGTAAGTTGTAGGCGGGCCTTTCGGAGCGGCCGACGGGCCACGCCGCCGCCCCCTTCGGCGCCGCCCGAAGGCTCAGAGGTGTCGCCGGGAGCTTCGTCGTCGTCGGGCCACGTCCGGGCCGCACAAGCTCAAGCGTGGTTGCGAGTTTCTGTCCGACATGTCGCCGAGCGTGACAACGTCGAGCGCGCGACCGACTCTTCTGACGGCCTCGGGCAAGCAGGTCAAGCAAGGCCGGACGCGCAACGTACGGACGGCGTGTGCCAGAAGCGAGGAGGCGCTGTCTGGCCCTCGCCTGGCCGGACTGGCTCTGGCAGCACATACATCCGCCGCTGCCCACCATCGATCGAAATGGCTCTGGCCTGTCTGTCCCTTGCCTCGACATGTCCCCAGAACGATCTCGGAAGTCCGTCATGGTCACCACCTCGTGCCCTCCCGCCTCTCCTACAGGTCGGAAGCAGGGGAAGTCGAGGCCGGCATCGCTCGGAACTCGGAGGCATGGCATGGCAAGGGTCCCGGCCCCGGCCAAGAGGCCGGGCACGAAGGAAGCACTCCTTCTTCGCCCCCGTCTCCAACTCACTTGACGTCCTCCCGGCTCTGCTCACATGTGCGGCATCGCCCTGCTCGTCTCGACCAGCGGCAATGACGAGCGCACAACGCAAGATCCAAAGCCCTCGCTGAAAGCGCTGTATCCGGCGGTGCAGCGCAGCAATCGCCGCAGAGGTGAGAGTGATGGCGGTATGGCCCTCCGGGCGAGGATCGCCAGTGTGGGCTGACATCGTCTGGACACCATCCTCGATTTGACTGATTCAGGTCCCGACCAGGACGCGGCGGCAACACACACGCTGGTACGGCAAGATGGATCGCAGATCGTCCTGTCGCTCACCAGCAGCGTGCTCGGTCTGCGCGGCCGTGTCCTGACGCCGCAGCCGCTCGTCTCGGCCAACGGCCGGTTCCTCCTCGCATGGAATGGCCAGATCTTTGACTGGGATCAGCCTTCCAGTATCACGACGTCGTCCAAGGCCAAGCTGGACCGCGGAGAAAACGACGGACGTCTCCTCTTCGACACTATCGTGGAGCGCGTCGAGTTGCTCGAGGCAGGCCAAGGAGCGTCTGCACCAGCGGCAGCCTCGAGCATCGGAGAAGCAGTGCGCTCGAGCCTGGCCGAAGTCGAGGGACCGTATGCCTTCGCTCTGGTCGACAAGCTGGCTGGCGTTTTGGTGTATGGACGCGACCCGCTCGGGCGTAGATCCCTGCTCGTCACCTACGACGGCGAGCAAGGCATGATGCTGGCGTCGGTCTCCTGCCTCGAGGCTGTGACTGCTGGCCTCGACATGCAAGAGGCGGACTGCGCGTCGCTCTGGACCGTCAATCTGCATCAAAGCCACCTCGAGTCTTCAGCTCTGGAACGCCAATCTAGCGTGAGCATGCCTGTATCACTCACGCAACTGATCCCGCGCGGTACTCACCCAGCTCGCTGTGTTCGTGTTCTCCCTCAGAGATACGCCCCTCTGCGGCTGTACGAGCTTGACAATCCTGCAGCGACGCCAACCGACCTCGACGTACCATCTTCATCCCTGGAGGACCGCCATGCGGCGAGTGCAGCCTTCGAAGCGGTGCTCGCCAAGAGCGTCGAGGCGCGCGTCACCAACATCCGCACCCACGGACGGCGGGACGAGGCGCACGTTGCGGTCCTCTTCTCGGGCGGCCTCGACTGCGCCACACTGGCGCGGCTGGCCGATCGCTTCGTCCCGCTCGAGCAGCCCATCGACCTGCTCAATGTCGCCTTTGAGAACCCGCGCGCCATCAAGGCGGCGAGACTCGAAGCGGAGCGGGCGCGTCTGCGAGCGTGCAAGCAGCAAGCGCCGCGCCGGCGGAGGGCAGCGTTCGAGGCAGGTCAAGAGGCTTCCCCGCTCGACTCGGGCGATCGTGGGCAGGCCGACGCGACGAGCGCTGCGGCGCTGGATGTCGCCTTGCCCGAGGTCGACATTTACGACGTGCCGGACCGCCTGACGGGTCGAGCGACGCACGCCGAGCTGGTGGCGCTCGCCCCGCGGCGGCGCTGGAACTTTGTCGAGATCAACGTCACCTATGCCGAGTACTGCGAGGCGCGCGAGACGGTCATGGCGCTGATGCACCCTACAGCCAGCGTGGTGAGTGACGGACAGAGTTGGTCGTCGCCCTCGGGTCAGTGATCGTCGCGGTGCTGACTCCCTCGTCGCCCATCGCCCTTCATTCCGCTGCGGGGACCGCGTAGATGGATCTTGTGAGTCGAGCAGAAGCTGCTCTCGAGCGCGTCTGCCTGGTGCCCTCGCTGACCTTCCAAATGGCCCCCGCCTCATTCTCTGGCGTGCAGAGCATCGCGTCCGCCCTCTTCTTCGCATCCCGCGGGTATGGCCATGTGGTCGAAGCGTCGAGCATGCGCCGTCAAGCCTACACGACGCCGGCGCGCGTGCTGATCTCGGGTCTGGGCGCCGACGAGCTGTTGGGCGGCTACTCGCGCCACCGCAACGCCTTTGCGCGGCACGGCTGGGCGGGCCTCGTCGAAGAGGTGCGTCGTCGGGTGCGCCTCTTTCGCGTCGCTGGTGTCCCCATCGCTTCTCTGACCTCCTTCCTCCTCTTCCACCCCTTCTGCCTGGTTGCTTGTCGGCGGATCGACAGCTCCAACTCGACCTCGCCCGCCTCCCGACGCGCAACCTGGGGCGGGACGACCGCATCCTCTCGACGCATGGCCGCGAAGCGCGCTACCCCTTCCTCGCTCACCCGGTCCTCTCCCACCTCTGCTCCCTCCCCGTTCCCGCAAAGACGGACCCGAGGATGGGCGAAGGGACGGGCGACAAGCTCCTGCTGCGCGACCTCGCCTCGTCGCCCTCGATCGGCCTCGTCGGCGCAGCCAGGCTCAAGAAGCGCGCCATGCAGTTTGGCACGCGCGCTGCCAAGATCGACGAGGGACAGGGAAACGTAAAGGGACACGAGTCGATCAAGTGATGCCGGTGCATGGCGCGTCGAGGCGAAGACGCGCTGCCACCGGCCGGCCGGCTGTGGTGCGCCGTCGAAGGATGATGGCGAGAGAAGAGTGTCCATTGGGCTGTACCGCCGTGGTGTGCTGCGCGCGCGGGCGTGTGTGTGCGAGTGTGCAAAACGAAAGAGAGAGGTCGAGAAAGAGTGCGATGGTACGGTAGAGATGATATCCGCTGTGCAAAGAGGTGCAACGAGGCAACGAGGGGATGCCGGCGTGGGCGAGACGGGGCGGCGCGCCGCGCGCGACCCGAGAGCAGGGCGCAAGAAAAACGAATGTCGAGGCAGATAATACAGGTGGCGAGAGCAACAAGGAGGGTGAGAGTGATGGGGAAGGAGGAGGCGAAGGCGAAGGCGGCAGAGAGACGAGGACGGGCATCGTCACCCTTTGGCCGCGCCGCCGCAATGTCCGGATCCAGGCGATGGGTGCTGCAGGGATGAGCTCCCCGGAGTGTCGAGCCGAAAGCCGATCGGGCGCCTGCGCCTGCGCCTGCGTGGCGGGCAACACATCGCCGGCGCGCAGCTCCAAAGGCCAAGCTCAGTAGGGCGTGCCGTACTGCCCGTTGGGCGGGTAGCCCATGCCCTGTTTCCCGCCGCCGAGGCCGGGCGCAGAGTGCTGCTGCTGCTGCGGCGTGAGGCGGCTGGGGCTGATGCCGCGGTACGAAGACTCGTGGGTCTGGGCGCTGCCCATCATCATGTCCGGCTCGGAGCCCAGCAGCGGGTCCTTGACCTCCCAGACCGACTGCTTGGAGCCGACGCTGAACTCGAGGTCCTCCTTGGTGATCGAGTCCCAGTACTTGTACACCATCATGACGGCGAGCAGCATGCAGAGCGACCCAAAGAAGGTTCCGTCGATGTAGTGCTTGACGGCCTTGCAGATCTGCTTGCCGAAGCCGTACATGAGCACCAGGCCGGCGGCGAAGAAGCCCGTGCCAAAGACGATGTCGCCCAGCGGCCACCGGTCGTCGAGGGTGCGCAGCACCAGGATGACCTGCGAGACGATGTAGATGGCGACGCAGACGAGCGGGAAGACGAGCTCGACAATGTAGAGGCCCGTCTGCATGCTGGGCGACATGCCCGCGAAGCCCTTGAAGGTGGCGGCCGAGACAAAGAAGCCGATGCCCCACATGATGACGCAGGTGATGCGGAGCGACCACAGCGACTTTGGCGTGCCGTCCTCGGCGAACTGGAAGCCGACGAAGCCGTTGAGCAGCAGGCACCAGAACGTCGCCGTCTTGAGGCCGATGTAGACGGCCGTCAGCCAGAGGTAGGCGACCGAGTAGGTGGGCACGATGGCCGAGTCGAGGAAGATGACGAGGACCTCGGAGAGCGCGTAGAGGTAGAAGAAGAGAACAATCTCCTTGCGGCCGACGGCCGTATACTTGGACCGGATGTGGTAGACCATGATGGCCGTCATGATGAGCGCACCGATATGGATAAAGCACGTCGCTGCACAGGGTCGGCGTAGTGACGGTGACGAGGTCAGCACAGCGCTCGCCGCTGATGGACGCAACGGCACGCAGCAGGGAGAGGTGCGAGCGAATTTCGGTGCTCACCGGGCTGAAAGATGATTGTGCTATTGATCTCGACGTTTCTCGAGTAGCAGAGCGGTTCTAGGCCGAGGCCGTCGCCGAGGAGCGGGCAGCATGTCATGGCGATGCCCTCGCAGATGGACTCGTAGGAGCCGAATTTGAACCCCATGGTGGGCTACTGTGCTGAGGGGTGCTGGTGCTGGACACGGTGTGCTATCCGGTTTGTCGTGCTGGCGCTTTGAGTGAAGGCGGACGAGACGTCTGCTTTCGGAGGTCCGTCGGGGTCGGAATGGGGTACAGAGGTCTGCCGTGGCTGCCAGCGTGGACGGAGAGGCCTCGACGAAGGGCGCTTTGAATAGCAACCGATGCTGGGGAAAGGTGCACAATTGGCAGTGTATTTAGCAAGGCGATCTGTGCCGCTGAGCGTGCTGAGAATGCTCGAAGTGGACGCAAAGAGGGGGCGGCCGAGGATCTGTCGGTCGAAAAGCGCAGCTGAGCGAGGTGGCAGTCGACGGTGGCGATAGGGTCGAGGCGGCTCAAAAGGGCGCGCGAAGGCAGAAATGCAAAGCCCTCGCGGTCTGGGTGAGGCGATGACGGTGAAGGCGATGAAGGCAGGCAGGTGATGGTAGTGATGGTCGAACCGAGTCGGTGGATCCGGCTGGCATGCCTGCCTCTGCGTCGGTACTGCTTGCTTGTGGCCTGGCTGGCGGCCAAACATGCCGTGCCCTGCCTGGCTGCCTCGGCCTCTGCAGTCCATCAGCGCCGCCCGCCTGCGCCCTGGAGAGTGAATCAAGTGTCGCCTCGATTTCAAGTGCAGCCTCGCCTCGCCTCACCTCGCCTCGCCTCGCCCTGCCCCCGGCCACGGCCCCCCTTTTTCCAAATCTCGGAATTTCAAGATGGCTGGCCGAGGGGGCTGGATCGGCACAAGCAGCCTGGGCTGTCAGCTTGCTTCTGCCCGCTTGTCAAAGGCCCCTAGCCTCTGCCACAGCATGTCCTTCGGTTGTCAATCTGATACGCATCGCCTGCTTGGCAGCGGACAGAAACGCCAGACCCGAGAGGCGTACGAGGGTGACGCCGGGCGACGGTGGCAATGCCAGACGAGGCAGGCATCAATGGCCAGAGTTGCAAAAGGGGGTCAAAGGGTCCAGTAGGTAGGCAGGTTGCAAGAAACGAAGCCGGCGCGCACGTGGACCGTGGGCCACTCTACGACCTCCTCCTCCATCATGTGCTCTTCCGGATCCTCCCGGCGGCTGCTCCTCGAACGAGTCCGATTAGAGCGCCCAGGTCTTGATGAGGCAGTCGCGCCCACCCGACACGGCGTACTTGTCCATGTACCGCATCCGCTCCGCCGGCGACGTGTGGCCGTTGAGCGTGAGCGACCCGTGCTGCAGCGTGGTGCGGTTAAACACCTTGACCCCATTCTCGCCCGCCGCCGCCACAATCTTGCGCGTGTCAAACTGCAGCGCCGTGACCGGGTAGTCGTAGCGGATCGTGTCAGAGATCGACCCCATGCGCAGGTCCCAGATCCGGATCGACTTGTCCAGGCTGCCCGAGATGACGTGCGTCTCGTCAAACTGGAGGCACGTCACCGGCGCCGTGTGGCCCAGCAGCGTCCGGTGCGCCTGTCCCGTACGCACTGCGGCGTCGACGAGCGAGGGAGGACAGGGAACGGCGAGCGAGAGGAGGAGAGGGTCAGCTTAGTGCGATCGTCGTGCAGGATCTGCTGCGGAGCCGTCGGCGGCCTACTCACTGTCCCACATCCTCACGCCACCATCGCCGCTGCCGCTGGCAAGCGCGTAGCCCCAGAACTGCACGCCCCCCACAAAGTCCTGATACATCTCCCAGCTGCCGTCCTGGTACGGCGGCGTCGGGTACGAGAACGCGCCCGAAAAGTTGTTGAGCACGCTGAACGAGTTCGACGAGCTGAGCTCGGGCCGCGACGGCCCGAGGATCGACGAGCTCGTCGCCTTGCGGCTGGGCGACGACGGGAAGCCAAACTCGGACTGCGACAGCGCCTGCGACGACGTCGGGTTCGAGATGGCCCAGAGGATGTCCATCGTCAGCACGCACTGCCCCGTGTTGAGGTCCCACTGCCGCAGCGTCTTGTCCGAAGCGCCCGTCACCTGGAGAAGAGCGGCATTGTCGAAGAAACAGAGCAGCAAGAGTTAGTCTCCGAGCGGCCGAGCGCAAAGTCTGCAGAGCAAAGCCACGGATGATGTTGCCCGCTAGCCCTAGTGGACTCACCAGGCAGTTATCGTCAAAGTAGAGCGCGGTCACCGCCTTGCTGTGGCCCTCTAGGCTTCGGAGGCAAGGGTCATGCTCATCCTTGGCCTCGGCCTCGCCGTCGTCCGCAGCTGCAGAGTCCTGGATGATGGACGCAGTCTGGTCGTCGCCGTTGACGGCATGCTTGTTGCGCGGCGGCAGCTCGCCCGACGCGCTCATCACAAGACGGGTCTCAAAGTCCTCGACTTTGGTCAGGTCCCAGATCTTGAGCGAGCTGTCGGCCGAGCCAGTGATGCAGATCTCGTCCTCGACCTGAAGACACTTGACCATGGCGCTGTGGCCGCGCAGCCTGCCGACCTCGTCGCCCGAGGCCAGATCCCACACGCGCACGGTGTCATCGGCCGAAGCCGAGACCAGCGTGCCGTAGGGTTCCGAAAAGTCGAGCGCCGTGATGGGAGCGCCGTGATTGGCCAGCGTCATAAAGGCGACGCCCGACGGCAGCTCGTCGTGCTCGGACGGCATGAAAAGAGGCCCCTTCCGCCGCCGGCTGGAGCTCTGGTGCGCCGTGGCGCCAGAGGCCGAGACGTTGGCGGCCGCGCCCGGCCCCCCCGGCATAGCACGGCGGTGCTTCTGCACGGCGAGCAGCTCGCTGACGCCCTCCTGCTCGTCGTTGAGCTCCAGCTCCTCTTCCCGAAGGCCGAGGAGCTTGTCCTTGAGGCCGGACTTGATTCGCTCCAGCGTCTGGATCTTGGCGTCGACGGCAGCGATTTCGGAGTCGATCAGGGATCGCTTGACGCCGATGTCGTCCTTCTCCCGCGTGATCTCCTCCATCTGCCTCTCAAGCTCGGCAACGTCGATGCCGGAGAGCTTGCTTCCCTCCTTGCCCTTTGCCAGCGTCTTGGCGGCCTGCGATCTCCGCGCGTGCCGTTGCTCGCGGGCTGAAAAGGCAGACACTGCCTCGGGCGAGTCGTCGCCTTCGACCATGAGTCCACGAGCACGGTCGCCCATCGCCTTGAGGCCCAGCCGCTTGGGGGTACCTCCGCCAGCCTCGTCGCCTTCGAGCCCGCTGGCGATGGCGCGCACCTTTCGTCTCCTGCTGCGTCCCTCGAGGGCGCTCGGAACCGTCGCCTGGAAGCCGCGGAGGAGCGAGACGGAGGCATCGGTCCTGCCACCCTTGCTGCCCTCGATCGAGGCTCGGTTGCCCGACCCGATGGCGTCCGAGTCGAGGCTGAGGTCCTGCGCGGCCGAGGAGAGGATGCGGTCGCTCTCCTCGAGCACGTAGAGCTCGTGCGACGTGAGGCCGGATCCAGGCCCTCTGCCGATGCCCGACTGGACCAGGGAACCGCCGAAGCGCACCAGCGAGCGTGCTGGGCTGGTGAGAGAGAACTGAGGGGTGAGGAAGAGGCGGGCGCGGCGCTGACTCTGCGGCGCGATGCCAAGCGCCGTGTTGGAGTTGACGACGGCCGACATCATGCGGTTGGTCATGAGCTGGGGTGCGACGTCCGAGAGGAGGCGGTGCGGCTCGGCCTGGCCGCCGTGGTCGCCGTTGCGGCTAAAGCCGTAGGGCGCGGCCGTCTGGGCAAAGGGGTGCAGGTACGCCTTGGTCGACGAGATGGCGTCGGAGAGCGTCGATCGGATGGTCGACGAGCTCGATGGCTCCGCTGGCGTGTGAGTGCCGCTCATCGCTGCGGGTGCTTGACCGGCTGGCAGCGGCAGCCTTCCTCGAAGGCGGTCCTGGTGCCCAGAAAGGTGTCGGCGAAGGCTTCACGAGCGGATGGGCGCGCGCGATTCAGGTATGCTCCGTTTCCGTGTGCCTGCGTTTGCGGCGGAAGCTGGTGTCCGGCAGTAGCGATCGGCCTGTTGCGCGGGTGATTGCGCGGAGGAGAAAGGGACGCTGATGCTGGTGGCGATGCCTGTCGTTGGTCTGGAGCGAGGAGCGTGATAGGTGGAAGCAGTGGCTTGCTCCGCCTGGCCTGGCCTGTCCTAGCCTGGCAGGCCTTCTGGCCGCCGCTTGACCGACCGACCGAACCGGCCGGCCGCCTCTTTCTGGCCTGCCCGTCATCCCTTCTTGCCCGACGCTCCCCGCGCAACCTCACGCCCCGATGAGGCCGCGCCGGTGTTTCTCCACATCGTCATCGGTCACATCGGGGAAGGAGGATATCGGGCCGCCGCGACACGCCCTCACCACTTTACGCGTGGGGGGGGGTCCGGTCCAGACCAGCTCCCTTTCTGCTGGCTGGCCGGCGCTGGGCTGGGCTGCCCTGCCCTGCCCTGCCCTGACGAGGCTCGATTGAGCGGGAGGACAAAGCAGGCAAGGTTAGGCTCACGCATGGCGCTGCCGTGGCTCCGTGGTTTGGCGGCGGCGGTCCGAGCGCACGAAGCACCCCCTGGCGGCATGGCCCCAATTTCGGCGTGGGCACATCTACATATCGTCGTGTCCGTCTTCGGGCGGACGGTGGGACAAAAGGACCGAGCGAGCGCGCCGAGAGGCCTGCCCGCCAGGCAGCCAGGCGAGGGGAAAAAAGGGACTCGCCTGGCCAGAAAGGGAGCCCAAGCCCAGCGTAGCGTAGGACGAACTGGCGGCTGCTGCCAGGGCCTGTCTGTCGAGTAAAGTGTTCAAGCCCCAGCGGGTCCGGGCCCGCTGCCTGGCAGGGACCTGGCAGGCCGGACAGGCCGGACAGGCAGGCAGACCAGGAGGCCAGCGTCGCGGTCGCGGGTCGCGAAGCGAAAAGAGACGTGGGACGGGTGCCTGCCTCTCTGAGCGAGAGGCCAAGCCGGGCTGCTTTGCTTGCCAGTCAGCCAGCCAGCCAGCCAGCCCGCTCGCCAGTCAGCCTCTCCAGGATACCGTAGACGATCCTCTGCTTGCTCGCGAGGACCACAACCACCGACGCCCTCTCTCATCATCGCCGTCCCAAGTGCTACGCTCGCCGACCTGCAAACCAACCCCCCCATCTCGCCGCTGCATAGAAGCTTATCCTTCGGTCCACCGCCTCCCTCCACGCCAAAGCCCAAAGCGCACCCCCCTCTTCTCCCCGTCCACATCCTTTCTCCAGCGCTCCTCGACACAACGGCGCCCGCTCGCATCTGAACCCGCCCACAAGGCTCGCCCGACCGTGCGCCTCGACAGTCGGCTGCTGAGCGATATAAGCTCGATCTCTCCTGGAGCACCCAAGGACGCCGGCGAAGACGCAACGCTCCATCGGCCTCCTCGGCACCACCGGACACCCCATCGAACCATGCCAAACACTCGGGCCTTCTCTGCCCGCCTCCAGGCAGGATCTGCCATGGCTACCAACGGCGAAGACGACATCGATGCCATCAAGTCGAGGCAGAACCTGTCCGCCTCCAGCACACCGATGCAGCAGGGCCTGCCCGGCGTCCGCATCCCGACCAGCGTCTCCAGCCAGGGGCTCGCAAGGATCCTCCGCAAGCCCCGCCTTTCTCGCAACGCATCGACACCGGCTTGCTCTTTGGCCGCTGCTGCAGACACGAGACGGTCTGCCTTCGCCTCGAGCAACCAAGGCTCTCCCAGCAAGGCCGGCAGTCGACCCACGGGGCCTCGGCGCTCAAGCTCCTCGATCTCGTCCAGCAGGCGCTCGATCCTCGGCAGCGAACGCATGAGCGATTCGGAGTCGTCGGACGACGAGAACGGCAGCCAGGGTCGCAACCGCCTGGGCGGCTGCTCGCAGCAGTCGCAGGGCAGCGACGAGCCCAACGACGGCAACAAGGAGAACGTGGCCCCCTTCCGCTGCGCCAGCTCCGACATTCTCAACCAGGAGGCTCGCGACGCCCAGGAAGAGTCGGTCGCCCGTCGCACCCGCGGTCGGCGAAGCTCGCTGATGGAGCGGCAGTCGTCCGCCGTCGCCTCTCCCGTCGACAGCACCCCTCGGGCCGTCAACGCCGCCGAACGCACCGACCGCATGAGGAGGCCCCAAACGCTGGCGGCAACCCGCTCGATCGTGTCCAGCCCTTCCTGTGAGTACCTCGCCGTTCGCGTTGACCTATCAGTGTGCCTTGGTCGTGCTTCGCCGGATCGCATTGCCCATACTGTTACGAGGCGACGCAGGCGAGCCCGCTGCCTCGCAGGTGGGCAACTGGCCGGTGCGGGAGAGGAGCGTTCCCGGTGGAGGCAGGTTTTGGGCAGCTCCGTGCGCTCTGTCCTTCCTCCATCCTTCTCGTCGACGAATAGTGGACCAGAAGGGGCGACGAAGTAAGACGCATGGCGGCACGAGGCCATGGCGGGCCGGGCCAGGCAGGGCTGCGTAGCTGCGATCGACGCTGGCCGCCGTCGGCCGACCCGGTGCTCATCTGGGCCTGCCTCGATGCAGCTGCAGGAAGCTGCAGCTGCCCACCGGGGTTCTAAAAAAAAGACGAGCATCGGGCCCGCCTCTGCTCTATCGCCTGGCTCTCATCGGACCAACACGACGCGTCCGACGCGCCTCCATTTCGCGTTCGCCAGGTCTTGCCCTTTTCCTCTTTACGCGAGCACCGAGGGCCACGGGCTCTGCCTCCTTCTAGCCTGCCGCCTCTGCTCTGGTGCCTGGCTTCACCTCGGACCCTTGGGCGCTGACCGATCCTCGCCTCCCTCACTCCCTCCCTCCCCCAACCCTCCCCTGCACCTCCGTCGTCTGTTCCGCCATCATCCCCTCCGTCTCTTCGCTCCGTCCTCGGTTCGCCATGATCCCGTCGTCGTCGACACGATCGTCCAACATCACCCGCCGACAATCCGCAATGGCCTCGACATCGGCGTCGGCATCGACATCAGCCGTGGCTCTGCCGCGCACGCCCTCGAAGCGCACCACCCGGAGCCGCTCGGATCTTGCATCGCGCTCCTCGCCCGCCACTTCGAGCCTTCTGAGCACACCGCCGCGACCCGCGTTGGCCAACTATGGCAGCAGCAGCAACAGCAGCTGCAGCAGCGGGAGGAAGCGCTCCCGTCAGGCCATCGACGAGGACGTCGAGGACCGCGCAGGCCTCAGGACACCCGGCACGCCCTTCTCGAGAATGCGGCTGAGTCCCCGCAAGGCGGCCGCGACCTCCGACACCGCCAGCTTCGACGTCGAGGACATGGACAGCTACTTTGGATCCCAGGCATCTTCCGGCACTGCAAGTGGTTCGCTCTTCGACGCCTCCAGCCAGGCAGGGAGCTCGTCGAGCGCCGCCACCACGGCCATGACTTCGCGCGAACCCTCGCCCACGGTGCACGACGCTCTGGCAAAGTCTTCGAGCATGCCCGCGGCCGAGCAGTACTCGAACGTCTACTCGCACGCGCGGGCCATGCTCCGTTACGCGGCCGGCGTCGATCCCGCCGAGACCGAGGCTGGCCTCACCATTTGCGGCGACCGTCGAACCGACTCGCACGTCAAGGTCGTCGGCAGGGCAAAGGAGCGTGTCGCCATCGAACAGTTCCTCGACCAGCGACTCGGCCTCTTCCCGAACGCCAAATCCCGCGCCGACAGCCTCGATGTCGAGCTCGATGGCGACACCGAGTCCGGATGCCTGTACGTCTGCGGACTCCCCGGTACGGGCAAGACGGCGCTGGTCCGGTCGGTGCTCAACGGCCTGTCGTCGTCGACGGTGTCGGAAAGGGCGAGGCCGACCCGCATCGCCTTTGTCAACTGCATGACGCTCTCGCACCCGCGCTTCGTGTTCGGTAAAGTGCTGAGCGCGCTGGGTTCGGACGCCGCCGAGGGCCAGTCGGATGTCGAGGCCGAGCGGGCACTGTCCAGCCTGATCAAGGACGGAAGCCAGCGCATCCTCATCGTGCTCGACGAAATGGACCACCTGCTGCACAGCCGGGCGCACCAGAACGTCCTCTACCGGCTCTTTTCCTGGGCCTCGCCGATGGCTCCGGCGGGCAAGCGGCGGTCCGCTCCGTCCTGCAGCCTGATCGGTATCGCCAACTCCCTCGACCTCACGGAGCGGTTCGTGCCGCTGCTCGCCAGCAAGGGCGCATCGCCGGCGCTGCTCCACTTCCGGCCTTTCGAGGCGACAGAAATCGTCAACGTCATCCGAGACCGCCTCATGGGGCTGCATCCGAGCTACGTGGAGGTCACGGGAGCCGGATCCACGCAGGCCATGGACGTCGATGACGATGCCAGCACCGGCGCCGCTGCGAATGCTGGCGAAGGACAGAAGCCGAGTAAAGACCTACCGCTCTTCACACCCGCCGCGGTCGAGCTGCTGGCGAAGAAGATCGCCGCGGCGACTGGAGACCTGCGCAAGGCGCTCGACGCCGCAAGGCTGGCCGTCGAGATGGTCGAGGCCGAGCAGAGGAAGAAAGCCCTCGCCGAGGCTTCCAAGCAGCAGGAGTCCGCCGGTTCAGAATCGATCGAGACCGAGGCCAGTCAAAGCGAGGGCAGCGCACCTGCTGTGGCCGCGGGCGCCGCCGCCGTCACTGTCTTCGCCACGGCAGAATCGGCCTCGGCGCGTGCCAAGGTCCTCAGCCACCTGACGCCAGAGACGGCTGCCAAGGCCGGACCGGCGCACATCCTCAAGGTTCTCGCGACGGTGCTGGGCAGCCCGAACCTGTCCAAGATCCGCAACCTCGGTTTGCAGCCGAAGCTCGTGCTGCTTTCGCTGCTCGTCGCCGACCTCCGCGCCCGGGAGGGCATGGCCGTCCTGGGCTCGGCCTCGGGCTCGCAGGCGCCGCGCGTGTCCAAAGGCTCGCTGTCGAGCGGCCTCCGGCTGTCCGAGGTCGAGTCGACCTATGCGTCGCTGCTCAAGAACGACGGCACCTTTTCGGCGCTCGAGAGCTCCGAGCTGCTTGGCGTCTTTGAGCTGCTCGAGGTGCAGGGCATTCTCCGCCTCTGCTCCGACGCCGAGGCCGGCGCCGCGTCGTCGTCGCGATCGTCGCTGAACGTGGCCGTGATGAGCAGCGGCGTGTCGCCGAGCGGCAAGCGGGCGGCCAAAAAGCAGCTCCTCGCTGCCAACCGGACCGCGGCCCTGCTGGTGGCGGCCGACGACGTGCTCAAGGGCATCACGACCGCCGCGCCCGCATCCTCGACAGCGGCGGCCGGGTGCAGCAGCACGCTCGTCGACACGATCCGGCGGATCTGGTCCAAGGAGGAGGAGCGCGTGGTGCGCTCACGCGGGTGGGAGGCCATGGCGCGCGAAAAGGAGGCGGTGAGGAAGGAGGAGCTGGGAGGGGGCAGGGGCCAGGTCGCCATTGGCCTGTAAGAAAAGGCCAGGAGGCCAACCAAGCAAGCTTGCTAGCAACCGTCCAAGCGCAGCCGGGTCAGCGAGGGCGAAGAGAGAGAGCGCCACCCCGCCCCGCCCCGCCCCTCTCTGGCTGCTGCTCACCATCATCATCGTCGATATGCCCTGTTCACCATCTTCAGCACAAATCCAACCCCATCATCGGCCGCTACCCATCCAGTCATCCATCGTTCACCGTCCGTCTTTCATCATCCCTTCGCGCTGTCTCATAGCCATTCCCCGTCCCCTAGCTCCTGGTGCGACCTGCTCAGTCTACTCTTATCCGCCGCAATCCATCGCATGCCCCCTTATCCACTGCTGGCCATCGAGGTCGTGATTCGTGTGGCGGAGCGGGCGGAGCGACCGAGATGGACGCGGTCGGTGCGCGCAAGTCTGCAGTCAGACGACCGATGGCCGACAGTCGACGAACACGGCGACGTGGACGGGAGATGATGGTGAGAGGAGCAGATCGTCGTAGCCATTGCAAGGAAGTAGAGAAGAAGAAGAGAGAGGCGAGGCCGAGCCTCTTCCAAGAAGACGCGGCGGACGCCGAAGTCGAGTCGAGCCTCTAGGCCCTCTGCCTCTGCCTCGCGCCGATGGTCTTGAGGTTGGCGTACACCTTGCCGGGCGGGCTGCCGAGGATGAGGGCGACGACGGCGTCGCGGGCGATTTTGATGTTCTGGAAGCTGCCGAGGATGTGGATCTTGGTGTCGGCCACGACGACGCGGGTGCGCGACGCATTCTCAATCGCGAAGCGGGTGCGCCCGTCCTTGCCGGCAATGCGGCCGATGGCGCGCGAGAGGTGGTCGCCGTGGAGCGTCTTTACGTCCTTGATCTCAAACGTGTCGACGAACAGGTCGTCCATCCGCAGCAGCGCGATGGCGTCGTCGGCCTCGAAGCCCAGCGCAAACGCCTTGACGAAATCGGCGCCTTTCTGCAGCATCCCTTGCTCTGTCGTATACTTTGACGACTGTCGGCGGGGAAGGAGTCAAGCATCGCAGGCGCACATCGAGAGAGAGGTGTGAGCTCTTCTGCCTCTGTGCGCTTCGCATGGCGGCCCAGTATCGCACCGCTTCGCATGCTTCGCCCTGCACTACGCTGCACCGCACTCACCTTGATCTCAACCATCTTCCTCTCGGTGTTCATCCTGACCATCAGCCCGGCCATCTCGACGAGCGGCGTGTAGATCTTGTGCCAGTCGTTTCGAAGGGGCGTCATGCGGTGGGGCGGGATTGGGATCCTCCGGAGCTGGCCCTTTGCGACGCCAGTCAGGTTGGCGTCGGCCGCCTTTTTCGAGATGGGCGCAAACGACGGCTTGTTGGTGAGGTCGACCTGCATCCCGCTCCCCGCCTGCGGCGCACCTGCTGCGGTCGTCGTCATTGGCGCCTCGTCTGCTGGTGCTGCCGACGTGTCGATGTGCGAGGTCGACGAAATCATGAGGTCGTCCTCGTCCTCGTCCATGGAGCCGAGCGCGGCGGCGTGGCTCATGCTCATGTTGCCCTCGGTGGCGTCCTCGAACACGTCATCGTCGGAGTCGTCGTCGTCGTCCTCCTGGCCAAACGGCTTGCGGTGCTTGAGGACGACGCCCGCCGAGTCGAGCTCGCCATCGTCGGAGGCGGTGGCGGCGGCGGCGGCCTTGGACGTGGATGCGCCGACGAGGTCCGACTTGGCGCTCTTCTTGGAGGGAGACGCCTTGCTCTTGGACGAGGAAGGGGTGGAGGCCGAGGCCGCCTTGGAGCTGGACAGTGTGGCAACCATGGTCGCTGCGGTGGGTGTCGAGTAGGCTGACGACTGGGTGTTGGTTGGTAGGCGATTCGGAGTCGGTCTGTCGCACAGGTTGATGTCAGAGCGGCTGCCGTGTAGGTGCGAATCGAAGACGACAAGGAGCGATGTTCCGTGAGCGACCTTCAAGCAGTTGGGGTATACGGTAGTGCGGGCGGAGCGAGGTGAGGTGATGGGGTTCTGGTGTGGCTGGCTGCAACGATGCTGAGCGGGAAGGCCAAATCTGAATGCTTGCTTGCGCTGCTGCTGCTTGCTTCTGCCTGCCCGCCTGCCCGCCTGCTGGCCTGGCGCCTGCCGCTTCAAAAAATTTGGCATTTCTGCCTCTGCATGAAATTTCGGCATCGCCCTCGCCCGCCTCCCGACACCCTTGGCAGCCTGCTGCTGGCCTGGCAAGCCAGGCGACTCGGCTCGGCTCCGCGCTGCAGTCCTTCCTGTCCTGGCCGGCCTGCCTGCTCCCTGGCGTCCCCGCACGGTGGCCCGCCCGCACCGCGTCCTCTCCCCCACTGCCAGGCCGGCGTCCAACACATGCACACGGCCTCAGAGTGTCGCACGCCATCTGAAATCAAAGCATGTCAGGCGGATAGGGGTTGCGTCGGGCTGCGTACTGATTACAAGTAGTGGTGAGGACCGACACGATGGTCGGGTGGCGTTGGCCCGAGAGAGAGAGAGAGAGCGAGAGAGGGAGAGGTGGTGACTGCAAGGCAAAACATGACCGGCTCGACGCTGCTCAGGCCTGCATGTTGAGCAGCATGTTCTGGCCGTGGGGCAGGTAGGTGACGTTCCTGGCGCCGCTCAGCGTCTGGGCAATCTCCTTGGACGCCTCAATCCTGCGGATCGTCAGCAGGCCGTCGCCCGCCTTCTCGAGTGCCCGCGAAATCGTCTGCGCCGCCTCGGCCTCACCCTCGGCCCGGATGACCGACGCCTGTCGCTCCTGCTCGGCCTTTTCGACGATGAACTTGGCCCGCTCGGCATCCTGCTGCGCAATCTGCTTCTGCTCAACGGCCTTTGTGAAATCCTGGCCGAACGTCATGTGGGTCTGTTTGGTCGCAGCGAGCAACGACGAGGCGAGGGCAGGGTCAGCCATGCACACGACGCCCGGCGGTCGCAGCCGCGTCCTGCCGCCTTGCGAATACTCACGATCGAGACGTCCTCGAGCACAATGTTGAACTCCTTGGCGCGCTTGAGCAGGTCCTCGCGGATCCTGGCACTGACAACCTCTCGTTGCGTGATGAGCTCGGCAGCGTCGAACTGAGCCACCGTCGCCTTGAGAACCTCGTTGCCGATCGACGGCAGCACACGCTCATCGTAGTCCTGGCCGAGCGACTGGTAGATCTTAGAGAGGTGCTGCACGTCGGGCCTCGAGAGGACACGCAGCGTGAGCGAGACCATCTGCAGATCCTTGGAGCCAGTCGTCGTCGAGATGTTCTGCAGAGCGCCCAGGTAGAGGGGTAGCGACGTAGGCCTTGTCAGTCGCTCGTCCATGAAGTGGTACAGGAGGTTGAACTCTTTAACAAATCAATGCTACTCACCCTGGGCTTGACCCGGACGTCGTAGAGGATGGCGCGCTGCAGCCACGGCACAAGGAAGTGGGTACCCTCGTTGGTCGCCTGTAATGAGCCAGAGAATGGAGAAGCTGGGTGTGAGCGACAATGTTCGTAGCATCTTGATCGCGCGCGGGGCGAGGACGCACCTTGTCCTTGACACCCTGGAAGCGATCGAACATGACGGCACGGTATCCGCCAGGTACGTCGTACAGACTGGCCTGGAGGGCCATGACACCGAGACCGATCGGCACTGCAAGATGATCAGAGCGCGGCGATGGGATTTGAGAACGTCAGCTTTCAGTGGACCGCAGCGCCGGTTGCCGCGCCCGGGCGCGGGTCACGATGGTACGCACCAGCGAAGCGAGCGGCGAGGTTGGACATTGTGATTATCGAAAGACGGTAGGCGTCTGTCGCAGAGGCTTGGAGGAAGGACAGAGGCTTGACCAAGCTGGGAATGGGAGCGGCGTCGACGGCAAGGAGAAGGGGTGCTGTGGTCGGGGATGGTGATGAGACGGCGGCTCGCTGGGGGATGGGTCCAAGCGTCAAGCAACCTGGACGGAGCAGCGGCTGGGCTCAGCCTGCCCGCCCAGGCGCTGCGTCAGCAGAAGGGCCCCGTCCTTCGGAACCGACCGCGCTGAGCTGAGACGCACGCCCGCCTTCATCCTCGGCCTTCGGAAGTGCGCGGCCTCCATTTTTTGTCCTCGGGAAGGTCAAGGGGCCGCTCGACGCCTCAAATCCTTCGCAAGAAGAGGGCGGGCTGGGCCGGACAGGCCATCAGGATGGTGTCCCCTCGGCTCTTCCCTCGTCCACGACCGCATCCAACACCTCCCTCCTTCGCCTTCGCCTCTCACTCGCCGGAGCACCACACCCATTGCAATGCCGATGGCGATGGCCACGGCTCGTCTCGGCCTGCTACGTCGGCAGGCCGCGGGCCCGTCCAGCACGGCGGCCCGCCTCCAAGTCTCGGCTCGGTGCTTGGCGTCCTCGTCGACCGCGGCCAACAAGCCGGAGGTCAAGACCAAGCAGCAGGCGCACAGCACCACCATTCCCCTCCAAAAGAACCGGCGACTCAGCATCCCCTACCTCGACTACAGGGGCCTCTCGGAAGCTGGCATGCAAAACGCCTTGGCTTCGTTGAAGCTGCGCAAGATGCCGTACAGCTATACCGACTTTGAGCGTCTTCGCACCGCCAAGCGCAGGCTCGGCGAGATCGTCGGCCAAAGGGCAACGCTCGCAGCCGAGCAGAAGTCTATCACGGCTCAAATGAGCAAGATCATCGCGCAGCAAAAGGTGGCTCAGAAGCAAAAGGCGGCTCAAAAAAGCACATCCCCCAAGGCGAAAGGGGCAAAGAAGGCCGGGAAAGACGAGGTGGCCAAGGATAGCGACTCTTCAGCAGCAGAAGCGGCGTCGACAATAACTACCGACACGGGTGCGGAGGGGATGGCAGCTACCGGAGAGGCATCCACCGACGCGACGACCACGGATGCGACACCCCCTGCATCGGGGGAGGTGGCAACGTCGACGCCCGCAGAGGACGGGGCGAGCGCGGGCCCTGGACCCAGTGATTCAGCCGCCGAAAATGCTTCCGGCGAGGAGCCCGTCATCGCCTCCGAGGACGCGACGCTCTCCGCTGACGCCTCGACAAAGGAGGTCGCGGCCAAGTCAGAGGCCGAAGAGCTGGGAGAGAAGCTCGCCTCGCTTCGACAGAGGGCCAAGACATTGAAGGACGAGATCGCCCGGCTCGTATCCGAGGACATTGAGCTACGGCAGTGGAGCCTTGAATACCGCCTGGCTTGGCCCAACGCGCTCCATCCCGAGGTGCCGGTCGGGCCGGAGCCAGAGGCCATCGTGGTCAAGGTCGAAGATCCCGGCCAGAAACTGCCAGCGTCGTTTGACGTGGTCAAGCAACAGGAGCCGGACTCGGTGCTGCAGCTCAAGCACTTCCCACCCAACCCGAAGCCAGATCCCACTCGCGACCATCTCACCCTCGCCTCCAGCTTGCGATCCGGTCATATCGACATGGCTGCGGGTGTCCTCAGTACGGGCAGCTCCTGGCCGTACCTGATGGGGACGATTTCGCTCCTAGAGCACGCGCTGTCTCAGTATGCCCTCGACGTCGTCATCAAGCAAGGATTCACGGCAGTCTCGCCTCCGGACGTGGTCCGCGCCGAGCTCGCAGATCGCTGCGGTTTCCGGCCGCGCGACGAGAAGGCCAAGCAGACCTATTTCCTGGAAGGCGACAAGCCGAAGAGCACCGGCACCGGTGCCAAGTCGGACCCGCAAAGGTCCCTGAACGATCTGTGCCTGGCGGCGACCGCAGAGATCCCGCTCGCATCGCTGCTTGCCGCCGTCACGTTCCCGTCAAGCCCATCCCAACGCCGAGGCGGGTCCCTCGTAGAATCTGATAGCCTACCCGTCAAACTCGTCGCCCTCGGCCACGCCTTCCGAGCCGAGGCGGGCGCCCGTGGTGCCGACACCCGCGGCCTCTACCGAGTCCATCAGTTCACCAAGGTCGAGATGGTTGTCGCCACATCGGCAGAGGGCAGCGAGAGCGACGAGGCCCTCGAGAGGTTGCGCGAGATTCAAGAGTCGATCATCGGATCGCTCGGGCTGCCGTATCGGGTGCTGGACATGCCGACCGAGGAGCTCGGAGCCAGCGCCTACCGCAAGTACGACATCGAGGTTTGGATGCCTGGGCGAGGATCCTGGGGCGAGGTCTCGTCGGCCTCGAACTGCACCGACTACCAGGCGAGGCGGCTGCTGGTCCGCTACCAGACGTCTCCATCCGATTCTGCGTCGGACGACACCAAAAAGAACGAGTTCGCCCATACGCTCAACGCCACTGCCGCTGCCATCCCGAGGCTGGTGGTTGCCATCCTGGAAAACTATGGCGTCGCCGACGGCAAGCTGGTGCTGCCGGCCGTGTTGCGGCCTTATTGGCTGGGCGGTGATGCCAAGAAGGACAGCGTCCACTGGGTGGGCCCGGAGCCGGCGCGCGCTGGTGACTCGCCATCCACCACGCTGCAGCGTGCGAAGCAGAGGGTGTGGGCGATGGCCGAAAGGAACGGGACGGACCCGGCGAGCATGGTCGTGGCGTTCGGACTGATGCACGAGTTGACGGCGATTGTGCCGCTGGTGCTGCTCTTCTACCTGCTCAGCGCACTGGGAGCGGGAGAGGCGACGCTGAACTGGCTCCAAGGCGGGGAGGAAAAGGACAGCGGCGGTGATGGCAGCGTCCAGGAGGCCGGTCTGGTCGCAGGCTACATTCGCGCCTGGATCGACGAAGGAATGGTGCGTGCCGAGCGCTATGGACGCAAGATGGGCTTCTTTGGCTTCGATCGCGACGGTAACGTCGAAGGGACCGCCGCCGAAACGGACGTGTCGGACGACGCGTCCAAGCGGGCCGACGAGCTGATCGGCTCGTTTGCAAACGCCGTGGCCGCCTACGCGCTTGTCAAGGCGCTCCTCCCCGTCCGCATCGCCGCTTCGATCGCGCTCGCCGGACCAGTCGCCCGAACGTGCATCGAGCCGATCAAGAAGGTTGCTGGGCGCCTTCTGGCGGGCCGAGGTGCGAAGGCTGTCAGCCGTCCCATGGCCTAGGTCTGGCCAGCGCGCGGGGCTCGATGCCAGATGGGCATGAGCCGGTCCTGGCCGTTCGCGGTTCCCTTGTCACCTCTCTCGTCCGTATCTCGCCATGTACCAACATCACCCGCTTTCAGTCTGCCTGCAACGCATCATCCTGTCGATGTCCACGAACGAGCGTCGAAGCGGCGTGGTCATATTTCATCGAAGGAGGACAGCGGGAACGAGGAGGAACCGCTGAGCCACACGTGATCTCTCTGCCGCTGGCAGGGACTGCTGGCTGCGGGCGGAGGCGGGGTTGGTCGTGGGCCTGCGGCTCGCCCAGCGTCGGCGTCGCGTCGCCTGCACGCCAGCAGGGGAAAAGCCAGGCAGGCCGAGCTTGACTTTCGATGCCTGGGCCTGAGCCTCTGCGGGCGGAGGGGCGGGCGTGTTGACTTTTTGGGCGAAGCGAAAATCTTGATGGCCGCCTGCCTAGCCTGGCCGAGCCTTGCTTGCCTCTGGCTCGCCGAGAGAGAGCAACACCGCACGCGCGCGTTCTGGCGCCGGCTACGCCTGCCTCGGCTTGCCCTTCGTCCCGACCACCCACCAATCAAACCACTTTCCGACAAACACGCCTCGACGACGGCCAGGCGAGCAAGCCGCCCTGCCCAAATCACCCGCCTCACTCTCATTCCCCTCGCCACCTTGCCGCACCGGACGAGGACGGCGAGCCTCTTGATTCACGCCACCATTCCTCCCCCCAGGGCTTCCGCTTCCGCCCTCATTCGCGGCCTCTTCCCCTCCCCCTTCGCCACATCTCCTCTCAGCCGACCGACTCGGACCGCCGTCCTCAGCCGCTCGCCTCTTTCACCGCCTGCGTCCCGCTCATATACCCACGCTCCACGTCCGAGCCCCCTCCTCGCGCCGCGGCGAGCCTCGCTTTCTCGGCTACCTCACACCTTTCCTGCTCAGGCCGAGACACGGCCGTCGAGCCGCTTCAAGCACACCATGGACTCCGACACGGACGCCTACGACGTCTACGACGGCGCCTCTGACGCCTTTGAGCCCTCCTCGCCCCCCAAGAAGAAGACGACAAAGGCAGCCACGACAAAGGCCAAGGCGGGCTCGGCGGCGACGGCGGCTGCAAAGCCAAAGAAGAAGCCGCTGGCCAAGCGCGACAGCAATGGCGGCGTCTCGGATCCCGATGCCAGCATGGTCGTCAGCGACGCCGAGGCATCGTTCCAGGCCCCCCCGCCAAAGAAGGCCGCCAATGGGAAGAGCGCCTCCGACACCTATCAGAAGCTCTCCCAGCTCGAGCATGTCCTCAAACGCCCAGACACTTACATCGGGAGCGTAGAGAAGCACACGGAGCCGCTGTGGGTCTATGACGCGGAAAAGAAGCAGATGGAGTACAGGTGAGTTGCCGGTCCCGCGCCCACGGCGCCCATCGTAAAGATGTCGTCAGCGAGGCTGATCATGCTTTGATATCCCAACCCTCGCCCGCTGTTGCGCGTCTTTTTGTGCAGGGAGACGACGTACGTGCCTGGCTTCTACAAGATCTTTGACGAGATCCTGGTCAACGCCGCAGACAACAAGGTGCGCGACCCGTCGATGGACACGCTCAAGGTCGACATCGACCGCGCGGCAGGCACCATCTCGGTGTGGAACAACGGCGCGGGCATCCCGATCGAGATGCACTCCAAGGAGAAGATCTACATCCCCGAGCTCATCTTTGGCAACTTGCTGACGTCGTCCAATTACGACGACGACGAGGCCAAGGTAACCGGAGGACGCAACGGCTACGGCGCCAAGCTGGCCAACATCTACTCGACCGAGTTCACTGTCGAGACGGCCGACCGCAAGTCGGAGCAGAAGTACAAACAGACCTTCTCGGACAACATGCACACCAAGGGCAAGCCCAAGATCCTCAAAAACTCGCGCAAGGAGGAGTACACGTGCATCACCTTCAAGCCCGACCTGAAGCGTTTCGGCATGGACTCGATGGACGGCGACATCGAGGCGCTGATGATGAAGCGGGTCTACGACATGGCCGGCACCGTCCAGGGCATCAAGGTCGTCCTCAACGGCGAGCGTCTCAAGGTCAAGAACTTCAAGCAGTACGTCGAGATGTATGTCTCGGCGATCAACGAGCTGAGCGATGGCCCCAAGGGCGAGGCCGACGGCGACGCCGCGGGCGGCGCGGCGGCCAAGTCCAAGCAGACGATCATCTACGAGGCCGTCACCGACAAGGGCAGGACGTGGGAAGTCGCCTTCGCCGTGTCCGACGGCCAATTCCGCCAGGTGTCGTTCGTCAACAACATCGCCACCATCAAGGGAGGCAAGCATGTCGACCACGTCGCCGACCAGGTCGTCAACCGCCTCATCGACCACGTCAAGAAGGACAAGAAGAACGGGCCGGTCAAGCCGCACCAGGTCCGACAGCAGCTCTGGGTGTTTGTCAATTGCCAGATTGTCAACCCCACCTTCGACGGCCAGACCAAGGAGACGCTGACGCTCAAGCAGAGCGCGTTTGGCAGCAAGTGGACGCTCACTGACGAGTTCGCAAAGAAGGTCATCAAGTCGGGCGTGGTCGACAACATCCTGTCGTTTGCCAAGTTCAAGCAGGAGCAGGCGATGAAGAAGACCGACGGCCACAAGCGCACCCGGATCACGGGCATCGCCAAGCTCGAGGACGCCAACAACGCCGGCACGCGCAAGGGCCACGAGTGCACCCTGATCCTCACCGAGGGAGACTCGGCCAAGGCGCTCGCCATCCAGGGCCTCTCCGAGATCGGCCGTGACAACTTTGGCGTCTTCCCGCTCCGAGGAAAGATGCTCAACGTCCGCGACGCCGGCCACGAGCAGATCATGAAGAACGCCGAGATCAAGGCGATCAAGGAGATCCTCGGCCTCCAGCACGGCAAGCAGTACATGGACATCACCAGCCTCCGCTACGGCAGCATCATGATCATGGCCGACCAGGACCACGACGGCTCCCACATCAAGGGCCTGCTGATCAACTTCCTCGACTACTTCTACCCGTCGCTGCTGCGCCTGCCCAACTTCCTCGTCGAGTTCATCACGCCCATCATCCGCGTGACGCACAAGAAGAACGCCAAGCGCACCCTCTCGTTCTTCACGCTGCCCGAGTACTATCGCTGGAAGGAGGAGAACAACCGCGGTGCAGGCTGGCAGATCAAGTACTTCAAGGGTCTCGGCACCTCGACCTCGGCCGACGCCAAGACCTACTTCAACAACATGGCCAAGCACCGCATCCCCTTTGACACCACCAAGCCGGGCGACCGCGAGCTGATCGACCTCGCCTTCAACAAGAAGAAGGCCGACGACCGCAAGGAGTGGCTCCGCCAGTTCCGTCCGGGCACTTACCTCGACTACAACATCGAGAAGCTGCCGATCGCCGACTTTGTCAACAAGGAGCTCATCCTCTTCTCGATGGCCGACAACATCCGCTCGATCCCCTCGATGGTTGACGGCTTCAAGCCGGGCCAGCGCAAGATCCTCTACGCCTGCTACAGGCGCAACCTCAGGCAGGAGATCAAGGTGCAGCAGCTCGGCGGTTACGTCTCCGAGCACACCGCCTACCACCACGGCGAGCAGAGCCTGTACATGACCATCACCGGCCTGGCCCAGGACTTTGTCGGCAGCAACAACGTCAACCTGCTCATGCCCAACGGACAGTTCGGTACGCGCGCGGCGGGCGGCAAGGATGCTGCCTCGGCCCGTTACATTTATACCAACGTGCCGAGCATCACCCGCGCCCTCTACCACCCGTCCGACGAGAAGCTGCTCAACTACCTCGACGAAGACGGCCAGTCGATCGAGCCCGAGTGGTACGTGCCCGTCGTGCCCCAGGTCCTCCTCAACGGCTCCGAGGGCATCGGCACCGGCTGGAGCTCCTCGGTGCCCAACTACAACCCCTCGGACGTGATCGCCAACCTGCGCAGGCGCATGGCCGGCGAGGAGATGGTGCCCATGAAGCCATGGTTCCGCGGCTTCACCGGCGAGATCGAGCAGGTGCAGCCGGACAAGTTCAAGGTCAGCGGCATCGTCACACAGATCGACGAAAAGACCTACGAGATCACCGAGCTGCCCATCCGCGTCTGGACCGACTCGTACAAGGCCAGCCTCGAGGAGCGCGTCGCCGGCACCGACAAGATCCCCGCCACAGTGCGCGAGTACCGCGAGTACCACACCGAGCGCTCGGTCCACTTTGTCGTCGAGCTCAACGCCAAGGGCCAGCAGGAGATAGCCGAAAAGGGCGTCGAGGCCTTCTTCAAGCTGTCCAACACCATCTCGACGGCCAACATGGTCCTCTTTGACAGCGACGGCAAGATCAAGAAGTACGCCTCGCCCGAAGAGATCCTCGAGGACTTCTACATGATCCGGCTGAGCTACTACCAGAAGCGCAAGGACCACCTCATCGACACGCTCAAGGCCCAGTACGACCGCCTGTCGAACCAGGCGCGCTTTATCCAGATGATCATCTCGCGCGAACTGATCGTCTCGAACCGCAAAAAGGCCGACATCGTCGTCGACCTGCGCAAGAAGGAGTTCAAGCCCATCCCCAAGGTCGTCAAGCCCAAGGTGGCCGCCGAGGCCGACCAGGGCGACGAGGCGGAGCAGACCGAGGAGGAGGTCGGTCCGGATTCGGACTTTGACTACCTGCTCTCGATGCAGATCTACAACCTCACCAAGGAGAAGGTCGACAAGCTGCTGCAGGAGCGCGACGTCAAGGAGGACGAGATCAAGGTCCTCCTCGGCAGGACGCCCCAGAACCTGTGGGACGAGGATCTGCACGCCTTTGAGGAGGAGTGGGAGAAGGTGCTCGCCGAGGACGAGACCCGCCACGCCAAGAAGACGTCGATGCACTCGGGCAAGAAGGGCAAGGCCGCCGCCGCCGCCAAGACCAAGAAGGGCGCCAAGAGCGGGGCGGCGGCGCGCAAGGTCCTGAAGGACTCGGACGACGACGACGACGGCCTGCTCATCGACGACGGCGACGACAGCGAGGACGACTTCAAGCCGTCGACTGCGGCGGCGCGCAAGAAGGCGGCCACCGCCGCGTCCGCCAAGCCCAGGTCGAAGCCCAGCCCCAAGAAGAGGACGGCAGCCTCGGCCACCCTCGATGACGACGACCTTGCCGCCATCGGAGCCGCGCCCTCGACGACGTCGACGACGGTCAAGTCGAAGCCCAAGTCCGAGAGCCCGCCGCCGGCCAAGAAGAGCAAGAGCGCCACGCCGCTATCGCTCGTCAGCGACGACGATGGCAGCGACGGCGACGACACCAAGCTTGCCCCGCTGTTCCGCAAGCCCTCGACGCTCGCCAAGAACGCCAAGGCGGCCAAGACATCCGGGTCCGCGTCGAGGTCCGCCTCGACGTCTTCGACGGCGGCGGCCGCCGCGACCAAGGCCAAGGCCAAGGCACAGACCTACTCGCTGAGCGACAGCGACGACGACGAGCTGATGCTGCCCGCGCCCAAGAGCAAGGCCGCCTCCGCCAAGAGGGTCGTCGGAGCCGCGGGCGCCAAGAAGGGCAAGGCCGCCACCACCGCCGCATCGAAGAAGGTACGTACGGACTGGCAAACATGTGTGGGCCCCTCGACGCTGCGAGCAAGCGCAAACACTGGACGCTGACCGAGAACCGTTTCTGATCTCTTGCTCGATGTCGCTTGGCACAGAAGGCCGCCAAGGACTTGTCAGACGACGACGACGACGTCTCAATGTCGCAGGACGTCGACGACAGCGTCGCCTCGCTGCCCAGGCGCACCGGCCGCGCTCGCGCCACGGCCCGCAAGGCGTCGTACAAGCTCGACTCGGACGACGACGACGACGAAGACGCCTACTGAAGTGTGACTCGGCAGTCGACCCGTTCCCTCTCTCCTTCTCGCTCCGGCGCATTGCTAACAGAGCCGCCGCTACCCGCCATCGCCGCTGCTACTCTCTCTCCTCGTGTCCCTGTACTTGTATCCCGCGCCCGGCGTCGCCTTACTCTACCATCTCTTAATCCGTCCGACGACCGCTCGAAGCGTCGTTCCTCTCCGCTCCTAGACGCGCCCGAGCAGAGGCTACACACCGAGCGGGCTCAGGACACAAACAGAAAGGTCGATGGGGTGGCTGAGTCGAAAGAAAGCGATGAAATGGTAGGCAAGCAGGGGATGGCAGCAGAGACGAGGGGGGAAAGGGGCGCCATGAAGAGGAACCGACCGAAGATGGGGGGGGGAACCGGCCCGAGCGAGACGGGCACGACCGCTGCTATCGCCAGCACCACCGAAAGATGACCAGGTTTTTTTTGAATCTCCTCCCTGACGTGACGACGGTGGGTGTTGAAAGCGATGGGTCCAGATCGACGGTTGCCTTGACCGACGCTTCGATGGGCGTTCCTCCCCCGCCTCCTACTTCCTTCATTCTCCCTCCAAGCCACCTCCTCCTCCCGCGGTCCATCCAACCAACCAAGCCGACCCTGCGCTGTTAACCACCCCTCCCGCCCGTCGAGTCGCACGACCCCCCTCCGCCTCCGGCTCAAACGAGCGGAAAAGAGGAAGGGGGGGAACGTGGGCCATCGAGCAAGGCGTGAAGTGGAAAACAAATATTACATGCGACGGGAGCCCAAGAGAAAAGAGAGAATGCGCGCGTGCAGGCCAACAAGAAAAGCAAGTCGGCCTGCGCTGCTGCTTGCTCGATGCCGTGACCCTGAAGACTCCAGAGGGCGGGTGAGGGTGCCAGCGCGAGGGGGGCCGGGATGGTTGCGACGTCGGAAAGAGGATGAGACGGACCGCCTCTCAATCGTACGGTCGAAATGGGAGGAGGGGGACCGCGATAATTTAGGCCTCGGTCTTCTCCTCGGCGGCACCGGCGTCGGCACCAGCGGGCTCCTCGGCGGTCTCGAACTCCTTGAGAACCTGGAGGGCCTCGTTGACCTTGGCGTCGAGCGCCTCGTTCTCCTCGAGCAGGTGGAGCAGCTCCGTGACGGGCAGCTCGAGGATCATGCCGGTCAGCTTGCCGGCGAGCTCGGGCTGGGTGGCGCTGATCTTGGGGTAGATGGCCTCGCCGAGCATCTGCTTCTGCTCCTCGGGGCTAGCCTTGGCGAGCGCGGCGGCCGTCAGGGTGGGCTGACCAACCTCGGGCATACCGGCGGGGCGGCCAGCGGCACCGCGGGGCGGCATAGGCTGGCCGGGAATGGGCTGGCCGCGAGGAGCGCCGTTGACGCCAGCCGGAGGGCGGGCACCGGCCGGGGGAGCAGGGCCGGCGGCGCTGGGTCCACCGCGCGGGGGGCGAGGGGGACGGTAGCCCTGGGGCATCATGCCAGCGGGGAACT